TACAGTAGTCCAGTCTAGAGGTCATGAATGCATGAACTAGCTTTTCTGCATCAGAAACAGGTAACATGTTTCGTAGCTTGGCAGTGTTTCTAAGATGGAATAATGCTGTTTTTGTAACATGGGAAATATGATTTTCAAAAGACAAGTTGCTATCTAATATAACACCCAGATTTTTGACTGTAGAGGAAGTAACAGTACATCCGTCTAGATGCAAATTTTAATCCAAGTGATTCTGTGTACTCTTTTTTTGGTCCAGTAAGTAATATCTCTATCTTATCCGAATTTAATAGGAGAAAATTCTTTTACTTCAATTATTTTATTTTTTACATTTTTAACACACTCTGTTAGCGTAGATAATTTAGAAGTTTCATCTGGTCTTGTTGAGATATATAGTTGAGTATCATCAGCATAACAATGGAAACTGATCACGTATTTTCTAATTATATTACCAAGGGGCAACATGTATATTGAAAATAGCAGAGGATCCTTGGACAGGACAGATCCTTGTGGCACTCCATACTTTACTGGTGATAATTGAGATGACTCCCTGTTTAAATAAACAAAGTGGTAGCGATCGGACAGGTAGGATCTAAACCATCTTAAAGCCTGCCCTTGAATACCTGTTTAGTTTTGTAATCTTTGTATGAATGAGACATGTAATATTAATTTCTAAAATGTACACAGCAAGACAATTTAATGGTGACCAGCACCTAAGGTAGACAGTTTATCTGTATATATTAATGCAAAAATACTATTTTGTAATTATAAATATTATAAAATATAAAAAAAATTAGTATAAAAAATGTATAAACAAGTAATAGTTATATAATTATAATATAATTAATTAATATATTATAATTATTTATAATTAATTTAAAAAACGAATATTTTATGATACTTCAGTATTTTGTAATTTCAATAATAAAAACAAATCCAAACAAAAGCCTCGTTTAGTTCTAGCACCTTGAAGGGATTTTGGGAATATTTGGTCAGCAATTTGTGTAACCTGATTTATATCTTAAACATTATTTTTAATGGCAAAATCTAACACGGGTGTCCTGGGTCTAAAAATGTGATGAATAGTCTGAAATCTTTTCATTTTCAAATCTCTATCCAAGATGGTCCACCTGTCACCTGTGCCAGTAGATGTAGCTTAATGATTAAAAACATCTGCTATTCAGACAATGGTTTCTCTGTATTCACCAGGTCTTGTAGACAAGCTTTCAGATTGAACGTGGTGAGTGACAAGTAGAGTCATCTGTTGCATTTCTTCTCCAATTACATTTACATTAGTGTTGTGGAAGCTAAAATGTCCTAAAATATTTATTTCTGTCTTATGTTGAATTGAGAGGTCGAATTCATTCTAGTGAATCTGTTTGTTTGGACAGTCAAGTACAACAAGACAACACAGAACAAACTCGTCCAAAGAAAGAGACACTTATTTATTTGATTCCCAGCATTGTATTGTACTATATATTAGAGGTCTTCACAGGTCCAAAAATTCATACCCGAACCCGAAGAGACCAGTAAATGTGCTGCACGGAACCGACCTGGACCCGTTTTTTATTTGAAAGTGGGACCCAAACCCGGCTGGGAACACACAGACCCGACTGCACCCGATCGGCACATATTGCACAGCAAATTGCTATTAACAAGTCAATAAACAAGTTGCGAAAAAAAACACTTTTTGGCTTAACTACTGTTAGTAGCCTTCTCCCTGACTGCGATGCATACAATCCTCCTTGCCAATACATTTCCATCGATGTTAGGCTGCTCTTCTCTCTTGCCGACTGAAAGAGCCTTCTTAATCCACTCATTATTCCAGCTTCAAAAGTCTACTCGACTGTTCGACTGTTGCGTTTACCCTTTTGAACTACAATAACGATACTTTTTGTTGGTTGTAATAAAAACTGGGAGCAATTCTTTTTTTGCAAAAGACACACAGAACAAGAAGTGCGTTACACTTTACTGTGTGCGTGTTCAATAACACGTACGTCTCTTCAGTTTTGTTTCAGCTTTTTTTTCACATCACTCATGTAGGAATCCATGATCACCGTCCGCTTGCAGTAGCCTACTAACATTAACTCCGCCCGCGCTCTGCCTCTGGCGGCTGAGGTCACGCAAATTTTTTCTTATTGCCCGATCACACTTTTCTCATCGCACCTTGAAGGGATTTTGGGAATATTTGGTCAGCAATTTGTGTAACCTGATTTATATCTTAAACATTATTTTTAATGGCAAAATCTAACACGGGTGTCCTGGGTCTAAAAATGTGATGAATAGTCTGAAATCTTTTCATTTTCAAATCTCTATCCAAGATGGTCCACCTGTCACCTGTGCCAGTAGATGTAGCTTAATGATTAAAAACATCTGCTATTCAGACAATGGTTTCTCTGTATTCACCAGGTCTTGTAGACAAGCTTTCAGATTGAACGTGGTGAGTGACAAGTAGAGTCATCTGTTGCATTTCTTCTCCAATTACATTTACATTAGTGTTGTGGAAGCTAAAATGTCCTAAAATATTTATTTCTGTCTTATGTTGAATTGAGAGGTCGAATTCATTCTAGTGAATCTGTTTGTTTGGACAGTCAAGTACAACAAGACAACACAGAACAAACTCGTCCAAAGAAAGAGACACTTATTTATTTGATTCCCAGCATTGTATTGTACTATATATTAGAGGTCTTCACAGGTCCAAAAATTCATACCCGAACCCGAAGAGACCAGTAAATGTGCTGCACGGAACCGACCTGGACCCGTTTTTTATTTGAAAGTGGGACCCAAACCCGGCTGGGAACACACAGACCCGACTGCACCCGATCGGCACATATTGCACAGCAAATTGCTATTAACAAGTCAATAAACAAGTTGCGAAAAAAAACACTTTTTGGCTTAACTACTGTTAGTAGCCTTCTCCCTGACTGCGATGCATACAATCCTCCTTGCCAATACATTTCCATCGATGTTAGGCTGCTCTTCTCTCTTGCCGACTGAAAGAGCCTTCTTAATCCACTCATTATTCCAGCTTCAAAAGTCTACTCGACTGTTCGACTGTTGCGTTTACCCTTTTGAACTACAATAACGATACTTTTTGTTGGTTGTAATAAAAACTGGGAGCAATTCTTTTTTTGCAAAAGACACACAGAACAAGAAGTGCGTTACACTTTACTGTGTGCGTGTTCAATAACACGTACGTCTCTTCAGTTTTGTTTCAGCTTTTTTTTCACATCACTCATGTAGGAATCCATGATCACCGTCCGCTTGCAGTAGCCTACTAACATTAACTCCGCCCGCGCTCTGCCTCTGGCGGCTGAGGTCACGCAAATTTTTTCTTATTGCCCGATCACACTTTTCTCATCCTAATTTTACAAGTTGCAAGTTACAAAACACACGCAAAGTGCTGACTGACACTGATCACTGGCGGGTGCGGTGTTCTCCGATCGACTCGGGTATTTCACACAATGTTAAACAGACCCTGGGACCCGAAGTAATAGATTGGGACCCGACCCGGACCCATCTGACCATTTAAAATATTTCTCAGGAATCACCATTTCTCAAGCCTTTTGATAATCCATCATCAGTCACATGAACAAGCAACGATTTGCCTCAGATTTTGGGGTGTTGTCCGCAATCTTAGAAAATTGGGACAAAATCACATATTATTTACCTGAAGACATCTAAACCAGTTGTGTTTTCAGATATTGTTAACTTAGTTCCAGCAATAACAGTTCTGTCTTAGACATTACTAAACTGAAATATTCAGAACGCTCCACACAAAAGCTGTAATCAATGCAAATGCATGCTGGTATGCTCTAAATGTTCCAACATACTTTACATGGAAGTACTTTTATTTCATAAAACATAAACATCATAAAATATAAGAAAGTATGCATTTCCATTTGGGTACAAAACTAAGCACGCAGATCTGTGCTTTCTTTCAGAACATTTTCAATTTGGGCGCAGTGCCTGCGAGACAGTTGCCTCCTGGTATTGACCAAGAGCTTCCACCTCTGAAGTGAATCTTAACTCGTCTTCGCTTTGATGTATAAATAGGTCCTTCATGCTTGTTAGACTTGCGTATCTCACTTTGAGCTCAGGTCCGCCCTCTCTTGTCATCCTGGCTGCTTGTACACCTTGGGGAATCCATTCTGCCGTTGTCGAGGGAGCCCCGGATTACCATTACAATGA